AGTAATAATAATTTTCTGATTCACAGTGAGCTTTGGTGTTTACAAGTTGGTTGTGGTGTCCCTAGAACTAAAATAAATGGGCAGCCTACTAAATTCTACTTCATCTGTATAAATGCAACAGCTCTCTATCTAAGAAATGGAAATCTGACTTGAATCACTATAACAGAGAGTCACATGCCCTCTTGCACTCAATTCCCATACTTGAGCCACTTCACAGACTCAATGCCCTGTGAACAAAGGGGAGGCCAGATTTTCTTGAAAAAGGACTCTGCCATCCCGCTAAAATAAATATCGTAAATCTTCATCTGGTCTTCCCTAAAGGGACTTGCACCCATTTATCAGGGTAACTGCATTGAGGAAGGAGGGAAATATAACTTTTCAGGATTACTAGACATTGACTGAAGTAACCCTAATCCCTGGAGACCCAAAATGTCACTGTGGAGTTTTGACTCAAGTGAGTGACACATCTTCTGCTATCCTGTTGTTATCTCCATTACAGGTTGCATAAGTGAAATAGACATACTCAGAAACTGAAAGAATTTGCACTTTGGTTTCCTGATCCATAGAATATGAGCTATTACCACAGGAAAGTCCAAGTGAAAAACATTAAAACTGCCTCTATCTGCCAATATAGGAAACCAAAAGCAATACTGTGATCCTGGAGGAAACTTCCAAAGATTAGCATCACTGTCAAGGACTTCAAATATTCAGGGAGTGGAGATTCTCATCACATTCCCATTCAGCATTCCTATTTGGCCTGTGCAGGAGAGAGATGGATTTTCAAGAATAACAGTGGATTATTATAAAAGCAGTCAAATGTTGAATCTAATTGTAGATGCTATTTAAGATGCAGTTTCTTCGCTTGAGAAAAGCAACATATCTCCTGGCACCTGGTGTGAAGATTTTTTTCCCCTCTGTATTTGGAAATGAAGACCATATGATGCAGTTTGATTTTAGCTGTCAGGCCCAGAAAGTTACCTTCACCATCCTGCCTCAGGGCTATATTAACCCTCCAGCCTTCTGTCAGAAACTAATTCTTGGGGAGCTTGATCACCTCTCCATACCACAGGAAACTACACTGTCTCATTACATCAATGATATCATGCTGATTGAACCTAATGAACAAGATGTTACAACAACCCAAAATACCTTGGTAAGATGAATGAATGCATGTCAGAAAATGGGAAGTAAACCCAACACAAAATTCAGGGTCTGGCCTCCTTGGTGAATTTTCTAGGGATTCAGAGGTCTAGAGAACATTGAAATATCTTTCCAAGGGGAAGGACAAGTTGCTGCACCTGGCCCATACTAGTGTGCTTTCTTTTTTTAAAAAAAATTGAAGTTAATTTACAATGTTGTGTTAGTCTCAGGTGTATAGCAAAGTGATTTGGTTATATGTGTGTTTATTTATTTTTGCTTTTATTTCTTCTGCCTTAGAAATGTTGCTACAATTTATATCAGAGTGTTCTGTCTATGTTTTCTTCTAGGAGTTTCATGATTTCTGTTCTTACATTTAGTTCTTTAATACATTTTGAGTTTATTTTTGTATATGGTAAGAAAAAATATTCTGATATTATTCTTTTATTTTACCTGTAGCTGTCCAGTTTTCCCAGCACCACTTATTGAAGAGACTGTCTTTTCTCTTGTATATTCTTGCCTCCTTTGTCGTAGACTAATTGACCATAAGTACGTGAGTTTGTTTCTGGACTTTCTATCCTATTCCACTGATCTATGTGTCTGTTTTTGCATTAGTACCATACTATTTTGGTTACTGAAGCTTTGTAGTACAGTCTGAAGGCAGGGAGCATGATTCCTTCAGCTCCCTTCTTTCTCAAGATTGTTTTGGCTATTCAGCATCTTTTGTGTTTCCATACAAATTTTAAAATTATTTGTTGTAGTTCTGTGAAAAATGTCATTAATAATTTGTTGGGAATTAAATTGAATCTGTAGATTGCCTTGGGTTAAGTGTGGTCATTTTAATAACATTGATTCTTCCAATCCAAGAACACGGTATATCTTTCCATCTGTTTGTGTCATATTCAATTTTTTTCATCAGTGTCTTATAGTTTTTGCAGTACAGGTCTTTTGCCTCCTTAGGTAGGTTTATCCCTAGGTATTTTATTATGGGCTTCTTTTGATTTTTGAAGTCATCACATATATTACTTGGGAGTGCTAATCCTACTCGTTTACTGAATACCCTAAAAAGCTGCCAGTTCTGAGTGGGGTCCAGACTGAGGAAAAGATCCGCAGTACGCCCAGGCAGCCATATAATCTGCTCGTCCACTTGGTTAGTATAACCCAGAAGATCTAGTGACATTTGCAGTGACTGTGGCAAATCAGGATGCTCTGTGGAGCACTTTTCATGCTTCTATAAGTGATAGTTTGCCCATATTTTCTTCAAAGGCCCATAGCAAATAGTTTATTTGGGTTGATACTATTCCTCAGATAATTGTGGCATGCTAGCTGCTACACATCCCCCCTCTTTGTTTTTTCTCAGAGGGGACCAATATAAAGTTATTCTAACTCTGACAATTTCTTCATTAATATTTTATTTTTCAAAATTAGCAATAAAACTTTTTTAAATGAAGAGGTTAAGGATTTCAAAATTCACAGAGGCACATTTGGACAAGTTTCCAGCTTCTTTGTAGCTTCCTTAGTATTTTTCTCTGTGGTAACTACACTTACAAAAATAGAAACTGTTCTGTAGCCCATCTCAATCTTTGAGTAACAGAGAAATCAAGTTAGGATATTGACATGCCAGACTGGAAGGTTGTCAGAGAAGTAAAATGTTCTTAAGAATGATTGTTCTGTATGATCTTAAATGGGCTCCATATAGGTGTGTATGAACTGGCTGATGGCTGGTAGCCCCCAGGTGACTATCTGCATGGGAAAGAAGTAGTCCTGAGCAAGAGGATTTGTGCACACAATATGTGCAGAGAAAGTGAGATATGAGTGGGAGAGAGGGTGTATATGGTCAGGCCTGGGCAGGGGGGCAAGATGGTTGGTGGGTATACTTTAGCTTTGCCCGGGGACTAGATCCATGAGACCAACCTTGTAGAATGATTGGCTATGGGATTCAACTGCAGAGACCATTTCCAAAGTAAGGAGCAGCACTGTTTCTGTGCTTAGGTAAGAAAGTGTGATAGGGAGTGAGGAAGGGGAAGGGGCTAATAGATCAAATATTTAAACAGGGCCACCTGTAACATTTGAAATATTTAAAGATTAGGGCCAAGAGTTCAACTGGGGGCCTATATGCTATATATAAAAACATGTGAAAGGTTTGAATCAACTAGTAGACTGTTAAATAAAATACCTTCCCATTAACCTGAATAGCCAGGTTCAAATTTGAATAGCTGGTCTATTTTGATGTTTTTCTTATATAGTTTCTTGAAGAAATTTAAAAACAAAGCTCTCAGTTACAGGTATATGTCAAGAATGGTTAGGTTGTACTCAAGATCACACATCCAGATACCTGTTTCCAGGGCTGTCCTGTGCTAAGTGTATTAATTTTCTATTGTTACACAACAAATTTCCACTCAAAGAATATATATATGTGTGTATATATAGATATAAAATAACCGTTTCCATATTCTATTGATTATAAGGAAGTCATTTGTCCTGCTAAATTCCAGGGCAAAGAATTATACAAGAGTGTGAATACTAGAAAGTGGGGCCAGCTTTTGGCCTGTCCACCATGCTTGGACTCCTTAAAGTTCTGTTCCAGGTGTGTAGGGAGAATTAAGCCCCTAACCTAGGCCCTCCATCCTCATTCCAGGCCCCAGTCTCTCCTCTGCCACTTCTCTACACAAACTGAGTTCCATTTGTCACCTCAAGAGGTTTCACATGCATATATGTAGATAATGTAGCTCACTTGCTGTCTGTTCTCAAAATACAGCCATCACCTCTTGGTCATCTCTCAGTCCTGAGGATATATATATTGGCAGCGAACTCAACTCCCAGAAGCACAGACTCATTGAAGAGGACCATACAGGACTCTTGGGGCTTAGGACTTATGGCTATATGAGGTACAAATTCAGGGCCCCAAATATATGGAACATGATTTGAGGTGGAAGGCAAAGTTTTTGTGTGCACATCCCCTTAATCTCACACACTGGACTCTTTGCTGTTTGCAGAGTTGAAGCCCACACTCCCCAATTAAATTTTCTTCACTCTGTCCACAAGAAGTAGCCACTATCCTAAATAAGTCGTTTATGATTCTCATACATGACTTTGTGTGCTAACTATGCATGCATAATTCTTATGCATTTCTTTTACTACATGTGTGTTTACCCATAATCAATTTATGGCAATTGTTTTGAATGTTTTTAAACTTCACATACAAGGCATCATAAAGTTTGTATACATCTGGAACTAGCTTTTTCCCTTATCTATTTTTTCCACTGCTACTTCCCAATCTTTGCATCTGGTCTTTCTCTGTGTCTCCATCCCTGAGAATTCTAGTCTCTTTCCCGGGTTAGCTTTTATTGATCTGTTCAACTTACTTGAAACAGACCCAAGTAAGTGAAGGAAGACTGGTCATAATAAATGTGAAACCTAAACCAGCGGTTCTCAAACTTTACTGTGCTTCAGAATCACCTAAAGGACTTATAAAACTCTGATTCCTAGACCACCTTAAAATTTCCAATCCAGCATGCCTGGTATGGGACCTGAGAATGTGCATTTCTAAGAAGTTCCCCGATGATGCTGATGCTACTGCTCCAAGTCAGCCCAGTACCAGCCTAGCACCATCTGGTCTTGAGGTAAGCTAAGTCATCATTCATCAGGTTCTTTCAATAAAATGCAGTAAGGGCTAGATTTCCATCCCTCTTCACATACATAGTTTATAACTTGATATTTTAACTAATTGGAGGATGCAATAAAAGAACTTAAAACATGGTTGAAAGTGAATAGCTGGTTTATTTCAATGGAAGGTGGGCCAAAACAAAAAGAAAGATACAAAGATAGATTTGAATCGGAGTTACTTATCTAAAAAAATCTGCAGCTGATTCATTTTAAACAAACGTTTATTTTTAACTTGAACAAACGTTGTCAGATATATATGAAGAAAGACAAAAACCAAGTATCAGTGGATGTTACTTTTTGGGTGATGAACTCCTGGACAAGCTAGTGTTGATGAAATTTCCCATGCACTACTGAATTTCGAAACATCTCAAATCCGTGAAGAACACTGTTTCTCTTTCATCCATGTCTTTCTATGCTTTAAACTGTAGGAAGAAATAATAAAAGAACATTTGAACATAAGTAGCATACTCCAGTGGCTTTCTAAATCTAAGAAAAGTCAAATATATATATATATATAGTCTCAACGAGAGAAAACACAATTTTCCTCTTGTTACCCAGGCCCTTGGGTACCAGGGTGTTTGTACATTTTTTGATGTCTTCAATCATCTGATCACACCAATCTCATCTCCTACTTGCCAAACACCAAAAATGCTTGCTATTTTTTTTTTTGGCAGGTAGGAGGACACCATTCAGGGATGTAAATAAGTCTTTCCACCTTAAAGGCCTGTGCTCTTTCCATAAACCATAATCTCTTAACCTCCTAGACCCTCAGTGCCCATTATCTGTAAAAGGAGAAAGAAAAAAAGAGGGAAAGAAAAAGATAGATAAGATGTAAGTTAAATTAACAATTCAATGATAACCAAAATCTTAATATGACTAATTTTCTTCTGTGGGTTCATGGATTGCATTGATGATGGCAGCTCTCCTATCAAACAGAAGTTGGTAGAAGGCAGCGTACTTTTTCTCGAGATCAAAAAGGTCTTTACAGAATTGGGCTTCTAACTTGTGCATATTGTACCTGAGGGCTTTTTAGAGCTTTGACCTGCTACTTAATCGTTAGAGGAAAGCGCTGAGCACTGCCTGCCTGTGGGTTTGTCGCCCCAACAAGGGATGCAAGGGCCTGAGGACTGGGCCACCACTTACCAGCTTCAGTCCACCTGGTTTCACAGCCCCCAGCTCCCAGAATACGTGTGTATCAGCAAGGGATTTGCTCTCTTGGACCTTGGGCTCCTCGGGTTCCTCTACCTTCTGACATGCAGCCCCCTCTGTAAGTTTCTCTGGCACTTGCCAGGAGGTTCCCTCTGTCAGGTACTCCCCCTCCCAGTTCTCTGCTTCCTCTGGCAGGTCCTCACCCTCCCAAGGTACAGGTCCCTCTCCCAGATCCTTGGGCTCTTGGGAACCACACTTGACCACAATGTGGCCTGCATGGGGTCCAACCAGGACATGGTCATTATAATGGATACGGCATAAAAGGGAACGGACCAGATACTGGAACAGGGATCAAAATCCTGCAACGGGTAACTCATGGGCCCCTATGAGGACTTCTGCACCCTCCTCCCGTACCTGCTTGTTGCAGTCTTCCCCTTCATCCTCATCTTCCTCCTCCTCAATGACGTAGTCCTGTTCCTCTTTCTCCTCCTCCTGCCCCTCCTCCATGCCTTCCTCTTGCTCTGCTGAGCAGGTGTCTCTGTCCTCCTCAACTGTGGTCTGGGCGGCCTCCTGACTACCCTTCTTTGCTTCCTGAAGGGCTATGGCGACTGCCTGGGAAACCAGAAAGGCCGCAACCAACACGATTTCATCTGACTCTTCTGCGGGGGTAACCACTGGGACCCCAGCGAGTCCAGGGTCATGGTCTGCCTCACTATCAGCTCTGTCCTGACCAGCTTCAGTCAGGTCTTGCTTCTCCATGACAGACATGGCAGGAGGGACTCACCAGTCTGTACCTGGACCTAAACTGCAATCCTGTGCAGTAAAGATGGCGGCCACCAAGCTGACTGCCACTGAGCAAATGCCGTTGGCAGCGGGGCCTGCTGGGAGGTGGTGCGGGCGATAGAGTAGATGGCCACAGACAGGATAACAACTTGCGAAAGTGTCTGTGGAGGCCCCGAGACAAGAAGGGCAGGGGGTGGCCGGAGGAGTGGCCCAGCCCACTGAGACTGTGCCTGAGGTAACAGTGGACAAGGTGGAAAATGGCGGGCAGATGACGCGAGGCGAGCTTGAAGGGTCAACAAAGGACTGCTTCCGTCATCACTGAGCTCTTAGCTCATTTGCTGAGAAGCAAGGATTGACATGCCTGGCGTCCAATGAGTGATCAAGGTCCATTGGGTCTAAATTGCTCAGAATCTCCCTTATCTTTGAGACCTTAAAAGTTCTTACGCTTTAAGCCCAAGCCAGTCAACAAGTCCTGTTCATTTAATTTCATCATTGTCAGCAAAACTATAGTGTTCCAATATGACTGCACCCTGCAGCATAGGAACTGTAATCCTCTCCCCCCATTTTCATCTAAGGACACCTCATGTCAGTATGGACAGAGTCTTAAAAAATTGTTTATCTCAGATCTCAGCAGTGGCAAAAGTCTCCAAGAAGAGAGAGAAAATATTTTAGACTTACTAGTGTTATTAAAACTGCTTAATAAAGAACTTATAAAGTTAAAATGAAATCAGTCAGAACAGAGAGTTTAAGAAGTGTCCAAAAAAAAGGAGCTTTAAAGTGTTTAATAAATGCTGCCAAAAACACATCAAGCCTCTAAAGAATAAACAGAAAGGGGAACACTTATTTAGAGGCAACCATGAAAAGCCAAAGGGTAGCTTTTCAATGATGATCTGAGTAAACTAGGAGTTTCTGTTGTGTTCTGACCTACTAAATCAAGAAATCAAGTGTAAAAAAAAATTCTTAAAATGATGGATAGGTCACTTTTTATATTAAAGTATTTTGTAACTGAAAAATATCTTAGAAAAAGAGACATAGGAAATGAATTATGAAATATATATCACAAAGTAACATTGATAAACCACTTTTATCACTTTACTCCAGTTTCAATACATTTTAAATTTAAAAATTGTAATTTATTTTTATTGAGGTAACATTAGTTTGTAACATTATATACGTTTCATGTGTACAATATTGTATTTCTACTTCTGAATACACAACAGCATGCTCACCATAAAAAATTTAGTTTCCATCCAACACCATACAGTTAATCCCTGTTACTTGTTTCACCCTCCCACTCACTGGTTCACCTCTGGTAACGACTACTCTGTTCTCTGTTTCTAAGTGTTTGCTTTTGGTTGGTTTTGTTTGTTCATTTATTAGGCTTATTTGTTTGTTTTTTATATTCCAGTGATAAGTTAAATCATATATATCTTTCTCTGTCTGACTTATTTCACTTAGCATGATACCCACAAGGTTCATCCATGTTGTCGCAAGTGGCAAAGTTTCATTTCTTATGCCTGATTACTATTCCATTTTATATACATACATATGTGTGTGTGTGTGTGTGTATCCATTCACCTGTTGATATGCACTTAAGTTGTTTCCATATCTTAGCTATTGTAAATAATGCTGCCATGAACATAGGGATGAATATATGTTTCCAAATTAGTGTTTTCATATTCATAGGATAAACGCCCAGAAGAGGGATAGTTGGATCATACGGTAGTT